GTGTGGGAAGAAAGGGGCAATGCAAAAATGAAAGAAATCCCTGTTTGACAGACGCAGGAAAATATCCATGTAGCAACTGAATTTAGAAAGATAAGGAGCAAACAGAAAAAAGTACCATATGCCCATGTTTCCCTTTGGCAGTTAAGCAAATAATTTCATGCTGATGAGTGACACTGTAAATATACTTAGGGGACAATTCTGGTATCTTTCTAAGAATAATGGAAACAAAGATTTTGTTTGCCTTCAAGAAAAAAATGTAGTCAGAGCTCATCATAGTAATGATGTACTGGGATCTTCATAAAAAGCTGATACGACCATGACGTACATAAAAATATTTTAAAAATTTAATTAAACCCAGTAATTTTTCTCATCATGGGGTGACAGCCTTGACAAGAACTTTTTTGCAGCAGTAGCTATCCTCCTCATGGATAACTTTGGAACACGGGAAAGGAAAGAAACCTTCACTTCTTAAATTTTATTTTGCCATGACCAAGTCCAATTAACAGAACGGTTTAGAATCTGCCAAAAATATTTGCAGTTCCAAGACAAGAATTTGGATTTCTGTAAAAATGAAAGTTTTCTACAGTTGTTTAAGCCTGTAACATTGAAGATTTTCTTAAGCTTCAGCAGAGTCATAATTTCCTTAGAGAAATGAAAAACAGAAATATGCCAGCTGAAGTCAGAAACACTTCTAAATGCTCAAAATTATTCTGTAAAGTATTCCAAAAAATTTGTATGATATGTCCTATTGTGCCTAGGTTTTATTTCTCTAAGGATGGAAAATGGTATTTGTTTGGCAGCTTTACGCATTGCTTATGGTGTATATCAACTAAATTAGAAAAAATATAGCTGCTCTAGTTTAATATCTCCATCACTGTGAAAAGCTCTAATGTCTCAATTTTCAAACTATTTCAGTTATTGTGCAAGAGGATTCAGCACGCTGGCTTTGGGCCCTGCAACACTTGCTGTTAACATACAATTCCACTAAATCCAAAGGGATTACTTGCATGACATTACCCATTCAAGCCCATGTTGGACAAAACCGCAGGAATAAAGATTGGTTACTAAACCCATATTTTATCTGTGTTACAAAAAGTGCCAGTAGATAAGCTAGCAGCAGTTAGTAGATGTTCTTAATTGTAATAAATTTTACTGCTTGCTAGAGCTTCAAAATTAATTCCACTCTCCTCCAGTGTTTACTACCTGTCATGACACCTATTTCATAAATTATCACAAGGATTAACTGATTAATATGTCCAAACTATTTTTGAACGAAGAATTCCTTTCAGAGTTGTTTACTAAGTTAACAGATAACCTCAGTGCATCACCATTCCTTCACGATATTTTCACACACCATCTATTTCCTATCCTGTATTTTAGGTCTCCTGCCCTTTCTTTCAGCATTTACTACCTTCTATCTACAGTCAACTAAATAAAAGAGAACCCACTGCTAAAATCTCATTTGCTGTTCTAAACGTGCTGCTTTGCCAGTTTAGTAATTTTAGTGGCTGCTGGTCTTTTCTTTCTTTCTTTTTCCTAATAAAATAAAATCCATTCTTTGACCTGTGTCTCACATGTACAAATCTTCTTCTGTCTAATCTCAACTTCTACCACTCCCCAGCTACTGCCTCATGAATTTCACATATTTTGTTTTTTAAGTCCCCTTTGTCACTCCTACAATTCACATCTGTCATCATCCCAAGCTGCTGTTGTAGCTGGAACCAGCTCACACTCCCCAGTTGCCAAAGGACCCTGCAAGTCCTCAAAATTCATTCTCTCTCTTAGTTTCCATCACTTATCCTTCCAGCTCAACTAAACTGTTAAAAACATAGTAATTCATTACAAACTATGGAATTATGGAAATTTCCGTTATCCAGAAAGGCTATTACTTTTTCCTTTACAACAACCCTATCTGAAGCCTGATGCATGTTTTTAAGTTTACACTTAAAAAGAGAGAGTTTTCCCCCATAGAAAACACTGGGTGAAATTATTTCTTGTCATATACTAAGTTAAATTAGAAAAACCTGCTGTCAGGTTAGGGTTCTCACTCTTCATAAAATTTATATACAATCTTATTTCAATCTTCTCTGATGGCAAAGTTGTAAAAAAAACGAAATTATGTTTTGCTCTCTATAACCCATTCACCCTGTACAATCAAACAATGTATTAATAAACTGTAATTTCTTGCCATCATACACAAATGAGTTTCATCTTGAGTGGTTTACAGACTAACAAAACACTTGCACTGCTTGTGTGAAAACATATAACTGAAAGCTCAAATCACCACTTTACTAAAAACACTGCTAATTAAGTAATTTTATCTACACAAAACAAATGTATAAAGGACTAGAGAATTGCAATGTGGCCTATATATTCAAAAACTCTACACAAACACCACAATTCTCTGCTTTTGAGGCTAAAGTCTTCATCATCCCCCTAATCACAGTTGTGTATCACATGTAGTCTCCTTCTCTTTAGGATTATATGTTATCTGTTTTTCCTACTTCATTAATCAAAAGCAAACAGTGGATATAATCTATTTTCTCAGACAGACTTTGGAATTGGATGCGCACGTTTACTGTGTCTGCCACAGTTACTCTTAAGTACATAACAGCTGTATAGGGCAAATCAGCTTGTGCTAAGCAGCTATCCTGCAGCAGAGATAAAGTGGAGAAAAATACCTTATGTTGCACATCAAAAACAATCGCCAGACAAAGAGAGTCCTTCCTTCTCGACTCACAAGTTCACAACAAGCTTTTAAATATTGCATTCAAGGCCATGTTTTGAAAAGCAAACTTTTTTTAATTTTCTCTGGTCTCAGAAACAGGAATAAGGCTCAGTGCTGCCTAACAGAGGCAACTAAAGCGGGAGATAATCCCATGGTTAGACAGCTAGGCAGTGGCTAAAGGTTCAGTGCCAGGGTATGCCACAGATTGACTGCGAGAGGCTAAAGCTGCCACTGCATTTCTCTGAGCCCAAGTGTCCTGTCTGTACAAGAGGCACAACAGCTCTGCTCTTTTTATTCTTTGGCATAAAAACTTGAATTTAAGCTCTTCAGCGTATGGACAAACTCATATATTTGACCACAGCTAAACACGACAGTCTCTGAGCTCAGCTAGATCCTGCCAACTAAAAAGAAAAGCTGTTTTATTTTCTAATACTTCTCACATTTTTAGCCTAAGGAGCAGGCTACCCGACTGCCGCATCTCCAGAGCTTTTCACAGCAAACAGCTGCCGAGCAGAGGGGAGAACACAAATTCACAGCCCACTGAGACGAGGAGCTCTGCCTTCATGCATCCCATTTGCAGGCAGAGGACCAGCCAGCACACAGGTCGCAATTACCCGATTAACACTCACGTCGCTTTACATGACTCATGAAATGTGGCGTTTTTGGCTCAGAAGAGTTTCTTTTGAAAGGACAAAAAAAACCCAAACAAACCTAGGTGACAGAGATGGAAAGGACAGAAAAGGAGCACCTGGGGTCACTGTGCATGCAGGTACGCCAAGGGTGGCGGCGGAAACCAGGCTTTACTCTGATGGTCTTGGGACACCCAGTTTCCCTAGGAAACCTTCCTTCCTTAAATGCATTTCTACATTCGGACAGGTGTTTCAAACCATTCCTTCCTAGTACGCTGCTTTCTAGCACTTGAGGGTTGCGGCTCCTGCCAGGGCAGGAAGAATACAGCCGGGGGCTCCCGGAGGGTCAGCCGGCAACATCGCCTCGCTTTCCCGCTGGCTTTACCTCAGCTTATGCCGGATTTACCACCCAGACCCAGAGCCCCAGCCGGGCCGGCGGGGGGGCGGCG